CTGATTAAACCCACTGAGCTGGAGAAAGGGCTTGTGGAGAGAAAACAAGCTGGCTGGGAGTAGACGTGGGTGCAGGGGAGTCTCGGATCTGAGACTGGAGAGTGTGGAGTTTGAATTTGATCACGTAGGAGATGCCATTGTGGATCGCTGAGCAGGAGAGAGACGGGTGCAAGTGGGTATCAGGAGGCTGCAGCCAATGGGGATGGGGACAGTCTATAGTCAGACGTATGGGGGGAACTAGCCGTGGTCAGTGGACGGGTCCGAGGACGATGCATCTGGTGCTGGAGGTTGGAGGCGTGACAGAGGAAATGGCTCTTTTGAACACCAGGATGTGTGAAGCCTCGAAGAGATGTGAGCAGAGGTATTTTGGAGATACTTGGTGGAAGGCCACAGCTGCTCAAAATCTTTACTAGTCCTGGAATTTGAGAACCAGAGGGTGCTGGGGGCGATCAGACCTGAGTGGGAGACCGTGGCAGTTTCCGGTGAAATCCAAGGTGGAAACTCAGAGAGTAACTTCCTTTGGTACCAGGGCGTCCTCAGAGAACTGTGGGGCCTGTGGGAACCCGTGAGCCTTTCTTTTCCTAGGAAATCTGGTTTATAAAGGATTCAATATAGTCAAAGACTGGTACGTCTTATGGGCTGTCAGGGGTCCTCTGTGCCCCGACCTCCCTTGGCTTGAACCCCCTTCATGCCCTTTCCTCCTCGCGGCCCAGCTCCCTAGGCTCCAAGTCATCGCTCCCTTTTCCCGACTCCCGAACACCATCGTGATTCTCGCTCTCCATCTGCCGTAATCTCTGCCAGTGGTCACGGACCAACATCAAACGGGGGCTCACTGCAGTACAGACGGACCCTGGAGTCGAACAGATGTGGATTTAAACATGATGGTCGTGTGGCCTCGAACAAGCTAATTAACAGACCGTGTCCTCATTCGTTAACTGGGGACAATAAGCCATTGTTCTGAGGCTTAATAACAATGCAGTAAATATGTAGCAAAGACTTGGCCACATCCTAAGGTCTGAATAAAAGTTTGCTAGTTTCAGGTTAGCTTATGGCTAATGACAGCTTAACGTGGTAAAAGCAGAAGTTCGGGCAGGTAGTGGGCCAGTGTTGTGTCCCCAAAAGAATGACGCCCTGAGAAGGCAATTTCCCCACCAGCCAGAAGCAGATTACTTTGGTGTGAGGACGTTCAAGTCAAATCACGCAGGCAACTACCCCTTGGTCTTGAAGTCGGAGCAGACAGGGGTTAAAACTCATGTCTCAGCCACATGCCACCATCTGCAGTGGGTAGTGCCCGCCTTCCTGGTTATCCCGTACCCTCACGGCGCTTTCCCCGGGGGCCCTTAATTAGAAAGCCAGACTTTCAAACTCCTGAACTGTCAGTTGCCATTGGCCCCACGGAGTCGTGTGCCAAAGAGAATAACTGCCACTTATTGAAGGCTTCTTACTTTTGAAGGCTTTATGGACCTTCGCAGGCTTCACAGCTCGGATGTGTGCACCGCACGCTCATTTCATAGGTGAAGAGCTTGAGGCCCAGAGAGGGTAAGTTGGCCCAGCGTCACACAGCAACCACACTGCGGAGCCAAGATCTGAAGTCGTCTTGACTCCAAAGCCCATGTGTTTGGCCACATAACCAAATAACCCAAATGGTTACTGACAAGAGAAGTCAGAGCCTCTTTCAAATTATTCCATTTTACCCTCCAATTTTAAAAATTAAGACACAATTAGGGGAACCAATATACCGAGCAGAACCTGCTCTGTGCCATACATTTGCCAAAATCGTGAACATAGTAAAACAGAATTTTAGAGGCCTTGTCCGTAGCGTCGTGGAGCCTGTGTTTGCAGCTGGAGAAAAGAAGACGGGGAGGAGCGCGTGGTCGGTGCCGGGCTCACTCACCCGGGCAGGGAGTGAGCCGTGGGGCTGGCATCTCAGCCAGCCGTGGGGCTGGCCTACAGACGCCCGTATCTGTTAGGCATCCCTCGTGGGCAAAGCGTTGTACTGGGCTCCACGGAGAAACACAAAAGGATTAGGAAACCCTCTGCTGCTTTGACAGCACTTAAAATCCGGTGGAGACTGCGGCCTAGTTCTCCAGACTGAACCTCTGGGGTCTGGAAAGCGACGGAGACCTTCAGGCCACTGTCTGGGCAGGAAGAGCCATCACGCCACCATCTCTTCTCTGACCCTCCTTTCAGACAGGGTAGCTTTAGCCAGGTGTCTGTGGGGACCTTTCCTGAGGCCATGTTGTGGCAGCTTCTCAGATTAAGGGATCAGGGACGGAGGCCTCCAGGCCCTACTGTTGCCAGGGCAACAGTGAGTCAGGCCAAGGCCTCTCCTCCAGCTTTCTGGAAAGCATTGCAGCTGCTGAAGCCTCTTACTGCTTCCCAGGCATAGTGGGGACTTCTAGATTTAAATTTTTGATAAATCAGTTCTGCACTGACCACTTCTAGTTGGGTTCTTTGAAACGGGTATTTTTAGTTAAAGCATAATAGACTCCAACCCTTCTATTTCTATTTTCTACCAAAGGTAACTCCAGGCTAAAATAAGTTTTCTAAGCAAGAAAAGAAAGGAAGGGAGAGAGGGAGGGAGGGAGGGAAGAAGGAAAGAAGGAAGGGAGGGAAGAAGGAAAGAAGGAAGGAAGGGAAAAAGAAAGAAAAAACTAAGTTAAACCGAGTAGTACTGATAGTAAGTGGCCTTACGTGAAAACTTCCGGTCAGAAATCAGACCTAGCCCTGAGTTTATTAGGGATAATAATAATTACCGCTATAATTCATTGGGTCTTACCATGTTCCAGGCACTGTGCTAAGTAAATGCTTTCATTTCATTTTCTCTTTTGACAACCTGTGAAATCGGTATTATATACCCTTTTACAATGAAGTTTGGAGAGGTTAAGCGATTAGCCCAAGGTCACACGGCCAGAATTTAAACGTCACGTGTGTGCTGTTAACTGCTGTTGGAGACTGCCTCCCAATTTCTTCTACGTGGATCCTTAATAAAGAAGGCAGAACAGTACTTTTTCTCGAATTGCACCTCTGACTCTCCCATGGACACAGCGTGTAAGTTCTGGACCTGGCAGACAGACCAGCTCAGCCCGACAACCCTGGGACAGCATCCGGCTCTCCTAACCGGGGAGAATAGATGCTGCGTGCCCCGGTGGCTGGGCATCAAGCCAGCCCCCATTTTAGACCGAGCCCCTCTCTTCCGTGGGGACTTTGGGAAGAGGCTTATGTGTTAAGGCGAGGGGCTCCCTTTCTGTGTTTGTTTATATGTTGGGACCTAAGAAGCCATTTGTTCAACAGTCAGAGAAGGAACGGGGTGAAGATTTTCATAAGGACGATGCACCTGCTCTCCAATAAAACAGTGCTCATGCCGTGACTCAAATCCTTTAGGCTTGTGCTACCTCTTGGGTTCTCACCATTCCTTCCACCGCAACCAATGAATGAAACTCACTGCTTCTCTTTATGAAATAACAAACAAGTTCTCAAAATAACTCGAGTACGTTAGGATAGGAGCATCACTACTGACCATTAACTAGGGTAATGGAAAGTTGAATTTTAATGACAAAATGTACCAATGAAAATTTCTATCCTCACTAGCAATTTTATTTAAATACTGAATATCGGGACAACAAATTGTTTCCTTTTAGAATCAGTATAGTCTAATAAGCATAAAAGCTTTTTAAGAACTACATTCAATCAGTTCTGTGTTTACAGATACACAAATACTAAAGATACGCCCTCAAAGGATTGAAATTGATTGGATTTAAGTTCGATTCAATTAAGAAAATTAAACAGGTTATGAAGCATGACATTTGCCATTCTTCCACTGAAGGTATGATCCGAGAACCATAGTTCCATGACCAAATTTTCTGCAGGTCAATTATACAAATTCTAAAATCTAAGATAAAAATTTTAGGTGTGTATTATCTTATGTGGGTTGATCGTCATCACTGAAACTGGCCCCATTAATTTTGTCCAAAAGTAAAGGCAGTAAGTTGGTTTGCAAAGCTACCCCCTAAACAATTTAATAATAACAAATGTCCAACTAAAATTATTATTCATTTCCCACTTTAGCTTATCCTGAATTAATCAATGCCTTACCAAGCCAAAGGTTTGTGATACATCTTGAAATAAGTTTGGAAAAAAAAAAAACCCTCAAATGTTTCAGAGTACTACTGAAAAAGCAAGTCAGTATCCAAATAACGCCAGCCCCTAGTATATTTATTCAAATGGTAGACATACTGAGAAGAAATAGACACATTTTTCTTGCCCAAATCCGTGCCAGCTCTTCAGAGTCTTGGAACAAGCATAAACTAAACTGCATACAAACATGCTTGGGTGTTCATTTTACCAAAAGGATTAACTCGCATTGGTGTGTTATTGTCATATAACTGAATTTCAGAATTTAATTTAAAACCCTTTTCCCCCAAATGAAAGTAGCACTGTTGTTTTTTCTTACTGTAAAGGGAACTTCTGAGTTCCAAAGAATAAGAACTTATCTCAGAATTGAATGAGCCCGTTATTTCTCCAAGAGGAAGTATTAAGTCTCATCTGTAAATGTACCAGAAGAAATTCATTTGCCACCCAGTATGAGGACTTTTAACCATCTCCATACCTGTGAAATTAACTGGGTTGTCTGGAAGAGTTCATCACCTCTCTGTAGAAACTAAATCTATAGTACTATATTTTAGAATCTCTTTCAGAGTCAGGACACAAAATCTTCATCAAATTTATAATGATCAGCCAAGTTTTCTGCACTTCATCTGTCAGGGTTTTCAAGATTTTGTTTTTAACCCCAGAATCCCTTGTTTAAATAAAACCATTTTCAGAAGCTAAATATGTAAAATAATCAGAGGCAGACGGGCTGGGGTTGGAGTGGGAGGGGTAGCTTCTAAACCCACCTGCTCAGCCCTCCCCGGCCCTGGGGGCTGCCCAGGGGGGTTTCTGAAGAGGAAGCTGCTTCAAACCCCACCCCCTGCCGTGGGCAAGTCCCGCCCACCCTTCTCCCTTGCGTCAATGTTTCCCAGTCTCAATCCAAACTCTGTGGGTTTAATTTATCCATTGACACATTCCATGCTTACACCTTTGACAGGGCACAGGGTTTAAGTTTACTTCTTCCTTTTAGGGTGTACATGCATCTCTATTCTCTATAACCTCTACATTACCAGGCAGATGTTCATAGCAGGTTATATGGCGAGTCCCAGTGAAGTCTAGAGAGCTGACACCCACCAAGAATCCCTGGAAGGCAGAAGGAAGTAGCAGCACAGATGTCCAGAAAGGCCCTGGCAGAAGCTGCCTGGATTACAGAAGTTATTTTTACAGCAAACACTTACACTGTGGAGACGAGGGATCATCACGCCAAGTTACAGCCCCCAGGACCCTTGGCCACACATCGCGGCTGTGAGATGCTTTGAGGGTCTCCCTCCTCCAGGCTGTCCTGGGCTCCGTGCGTGCCTGGCGTGGGCCCTTGACGGCATGTGTGCTTGACATTCTCAAGGGCAGGCTTCAGGTCATCTCTGTGCTTGCTCCAGCATCTGGTACCCGGGTCTGGCCCAGGTGAGGCACTCACCTTAAATGAACAGGGGAATCAGACACAGATGAAAATGTGCAGGAAAGAGAAACAAGCAAAACCCCAAATCCCTGTCCACTTGGGTTGCAGACGATTTTCCTCATTAAAGCTAATCCAAGCCTTTAAACGATGGCATAGAAAACGTACTTTATCATTCCCTCCGATATCTCCGCCCAAATAATAAGGTGGAGTCCCCGGGTCACTGCCAGATCCTCTTAACCACATTTGCTGGGTGGCTGGGGTGATGACAGAAATCCTTCTGGGCTGCCCTGCCCTTTGAAGGATGGCCACCCAGCTCCCAGATATGGAGTCCAAGGGTAGGCAGGCAGCAGAGCTAGACTGCAGGGGAATGGAGCAGTTGGCATCTCCCCTGCATCCAGCGAGCCCTCCCACCCTTCCCTGGCTGTCAGAGCTGTCAGATTGTCACTCCTCTGTTTGCACAGGACAGCAGCGACTCTTGGCTTCCTCTCATTTTAGATGGCCTTGGTCCCCTGTGCCCTCCTGCTCTCTACAGCGGCGGCGGCACATGGACCCCCTGGGTAGAGTCCTCTCCCAACCCCAGGCCCCCAACCCCTTGAAGACTTCCTTGGGGATCCTTAGAGTCCTTCCCGGCTCGCAGGGAACTGCCATGCCCGTCCTCAGCCTCCCTCGCCGAACCCCAGCTTCATCTCTTCTTGAGACTTCATCGACTCCCTCAAAGATCGGGGCCCCAAGTCAGCACCTGTGAAATGGGGACGGACAGCGTCTGTCTCCCAGGCGCTCTGTAAGCGGTGCTGCAGGATGATGGAGCTAGGCCTTAATAAAAAATCTCTCTTTTTTTAAATTAAAAATTGGATTTCTATAGATTTCTATATTTACGTTTTAAATAAATGTATGTCATCTTGTAAATTTAATTTATAGCGAGCTGAATTTTTTCAATTTCCTCAGCCGAGCCTCCCCTCACCTACCGGCCGAACCAGCTGAGCGCGCGCTGGCCGGACGCCGGGTCCTGGGCCTCGCTCGAGCGCCCGTGCCACGTGGGGCCGCGGCCGGGCCGTGCTGCCCCCTGGCGGCCGGAGCCGAGAGGCCCGGAGGCCGCCGCGCCGCACCTGGCCGCCCGCGGCCGCTCTAGGAACGCGGGGCCTCTCGGTGGTGGCGGGGGCCAGTCGTCGCGCGCCCAGGAAGGGGCTGTGCCCGAAGCCGGGGTTCTGCGGCCGGGGCGCTTCTGCAAGGCGCGCCAGGCCTCTCTGCCGAGCGGGCGGCCCGGCGCCGTCCTTGCACGCCCCGAGACCATCCCTCTGGAGCCGAAGCCGCTCTGGTTTTCTTGTTTTTTCGCACGCCTGGCCGGCCCCGTCCCCCGACCCGTCGCGGGCGCGTTCTTTGTGCAGATCCTGTTGCTGGGAACCCGTGGGTGCAGAGCGGACCTCGGGGCTCTGCGGAGAGCGGGAGCGCCGAGACGTGCCCCACCCCTAAGGCCCAAAGCCGCTCCGAGGAGAAGACTTAAAGGGAAATCCCAACGAGCCGCGGGGACCGAGAAGGAAGGGGTGGCCCCTGGAATTGACCCGAGCTTTACGGATGCAAACCCTTTCCCACGTGGCACTTCATTTCACTCACTTTTCTCCTGCTCGAGTCGATTAAGCTAGTGGCAGATGTACTTACACCACGCGGAGGCGGACCTTGAGAAGCGTCCTGACGATGGGCTCGACCTGCTGTTTGTTTCTTGATACATTTTCAAATATGTCTATAGTTATTTCCAAGAGTTGGAATTGCCCTGTTAAAGGGTATAGGCCTTTTTTTTTTTTTTTTTTAAGGCCTTTTGATGCCTGTTGCCAAACCATTTTCCAGAAGGGCCACGGGCTTACCTTTTTCTCTGTGGGACGTAGGTAGGGTACCCGCAGGCAGAGCTGCCAACTGGGAAGGTGGTCTCTTGTGGGGAGGGGGAGGGGTTGAGAATCGCCTGGCATTTAAGGGGCAACATGGGGTTCCGTGTGAGTGATGACCAGGCAGGCAGTGGCTTTGCGATAGTGCCCTGGGTCATGCTGTGGGACTCTCAGTGGATGTCAACGCTTCCGGAACATTGGGCAGCCAGAGGGATCCTTTGAAAATGCGGGTCCTCTTTTGCTCTTCGGGTAAAATCCAAAATCGCATCAGGGCCCACCGGGCCCTGCCTGCCTCTCCAGCCCTATCTTGGGTAGTGTATTGGTTTCCTAGGGCTGCGTCACGAAATACCAGAAACTGGGTGGCTTCACATAACAGAAGTTTATTGGCTAAAAAAGTCCACAGTCAAGGCGGTGTTAGGGTTGGCTCTTACTGGAGACCCTGTTGCACGCCTCGCTCTGTTGCCGGCAATCCTCTGTGTCCCTTCGCTTGTGGACGCATCACTCCGGTGTCTGCCTCCCTCCTCACGTGGTGTTTCCCCTGTGTCTCTATCTCTGTCTCTTCTCTTCCTCTAAGGACCATAGTCGTATTAGATGAAGGACGCACCCTAACTCTGAACCACCTCATCCTAACTTAGCTATCTGCAGTGGCCCTACTTCCAGCTCATGCCACGTCGGAGGTTCCTTAAAGGACGTGGATTTGAGCGGACGCTGTCCAACCCACAAGAGGCTGTCTCCCCTGACTCGGGGGCCCTGGCCTTCTCTCCACTCTCCTGGCTCAGCCTCTGCCCCCCACCCTGTCCTCCTGGGCCACCCATCTCCACCTCCCGTCCCCTCCTCCTGCAAGGTGTTGTGGAAATGTCACTGCCTCCGAGAAGCCCTCCCAAACCCCGCAGATGAGGGTCACCCTGCCTTGTTTAACGGGCTCATGACACCCATCCCAATGGTATCTGAGGAAGTGCCTGAGTCACAGTGTGTCAGTCTCACGTGTGCCTCCCCTGGAAGGTCACCCCTGTGAGGGCCGGAACCAGGCCGCCTGGGTGAGCAATAACAAACCTAAACACGTGGGCACAGAGACTGACTGCGGAAGCCTGTCTCAGTAGGACAGGCCAGAGGGGACAGGCTCTGTACCAAGCCCACTGCAGGGCCCTCCAGGAAGACCTCCGAAGCGGTGGCCCCGGGACACGGGAGGAGACAGACCTGTGGTCAGGGCAGGCTCCACCCCTCCCCCGACCATGACTTTCAAGGCCCTCTCTAAGCTGCCCCTGCCCCACCTCACTGACCTCTGCTCACATCTCTGTCTTGTGCTGTCCCTTTGCACTGTTCACGCTCCTGCATCCATCCTGCCAAGCCAGCTCCCTCCTTAGGGCCTTGGCGGTCTCTACCCACAGCCCGGAATGCTCTGCATCCAGATTTTTACACACTGGCTTCTTACCATTCAGACTTCAGCTCCTATTGTCACTTCCCTGACGACCCCATCTCACCCGTTTCGTCCTCCATCACATCAACCTGCTTTATTTTCAGTGTCTGTGATGATCTTGTTCATTTGTTTGTTTTCCTGTCTGTCCCCCTAACCTCTCAGAATATAACCTCCGTGAAAGCAAGGACCTCGTTTGCCTGTTCACTGCTGAGCCCTCAGTGCCAGGCTAGAACCTGGAACACAGTGGGTGCTTCCTGTTTGTTGAATGACTGAATGAAAGTTAACCCTTCCAAGCTCTGTTTCTTCATCTACAAAATGGGGATAATCTGAGCTACTTCATAAGAGATAATAATTGTACCTACCTCAAAGGGAAGATTAAATGAGAGGAGGTACATGAAATGCCTCCAGAGTACTAAACACTCAACATATTGGAACCATTATCAGTATCTTAGATTGACACCCAGCCTAACATGGAGGGGATGTGGCAGATGTGGTGGTAACTCTTACAGATCCCCAGCGGGATTACAGAGGGTGATTCAACCTTCACATTCTTTCAGTTACCCAACCTTTACCACAAAAGGATGGAAGAAGTGTGGTATTGTAACAGCCCTGAACTTGGACCAAGTGGTCTTGAAACTGAGTGTCTTAGAAACTTTCTGAAGCTCCATCCTCACCTGCAAAATGGAAATAATTATTCCTTATAAAAGCTTAAGTGGGTTATATGTAAATTATAATGCATATTTCCCAAATGACTATTCCACTGGTTCTTTTTGTCTTAAAGCAATTATTTATTAATTATATCATAGTAAATGGTATTGCTTGCAATTACTAGAAGGGAATATGCTTAAATTTGTAATATTTATTGTTTTTTCTGATTTTGAAAGTAATACATTATATTACAGAAAATTTGGAGGATATAGAAAGTTTGAAGAAGAAAGTTTTAAAATCATCCCTAATGCCCCTATTTTTAGTCCTCCTCTTTATGCCATGGAGCAAACAATACAAATTTAAATGCATTGGCAAGAGGAACAGTGATGTCAGCAGGTCCAGCGACTTGGGCTTCCTAGCAGGTAGGTCTGCTTCCTGAAAGGCCAGGGAAAGTGGAGTCCTGGCTTGATGGAGTCTTGGGAGTGGCTCGGAGGGGAAGGAGGCCCACGAGAAGGGACTGGTCTTTTGAGGGTGTGGCCCGGGGAGAGCATCTGACTATAAATTAAGAGGTCCCGATTTGGATTCAGAGGTGCTTTTACCAGGTCCTTAATTTTTTTTTTTTTTTACATTTCTAAGTAGTTTATGAAAATAATACATTACTGGAAATTTTTACATTTGAAATAATGCTCTCTGTCATTTAACACAGAATCACCTGGTTTTAAAAGACACCAGTGTCCTTGTCACTCAACTAGCTGCCCCCCTCCTCCCTGCATTAGGGTTTTTTAAACCTTTTTAAACCTCCCTAGAAGGTTCTAATAAGATCAGGATTAAGAACCATGACTTAGCATGTAATTCACATTTTCTTGTGAATTATACAAACATTTAAATAGCTTGCAGGACCTTATTTCCCCCACCAGGGATCGAACCCACACCCCCTGCAGTGGAAGCCAAGGAGTCCTAATCACTACCCTGCCAGGGAAGTCCCAGTAGTTTTTGATCACTGGAGATCTAGCATACTTCCCTTAACTACCTCTCTAGAATTAGGCATGTTTAAATATTTTAAATAACACTTAAGA